ATACATACTTAGTCAAGGGATTAGTAACCCAGGCTGGCCTCAGACTTGCTACATGCCAAAGCTAGTCTGAGCTCCTCATCCTCCTGTGTCCTCCCCCCATGTACTGAGATTGGCCACCATATCCAGTGACAGCCTGGGACGTTTGTTGTTTATTTTTTAAGCATATAGATGTCAAAGGTTTTAAATATAAGAGTTACTATACACATTCAACAGGATTTACTCTAAAGTCTCAAAAATCTGTGTCCTGCTTGAACTTTTTAGGTCTGTTGATCACATTATTATCTGAAAGCCAGGCACAGTAGTAGTCTCATTACATTATGGAGAAACGCAATTGTCCATAAAAGGACTTCGTAAAGAAATGAGTGATTCCAGATCTGGGCAGGGAAATACAGGTTGGTCCTTGAAGCTGCTGTGCCTGAAGGAAATCAAGTGGGCCATTTGATGGGGAGCCAGCTTATGGGGCCTCACACTGGCCAAGTTCAGGACAATTTGAGCATAATGCTAAAAATTTAATGATGGTAATAATTATAGCACACTGCATAAATGAATTCATCAGTCATGGTGACATTTCACATAAAAGAAGCAGGGAGCCCTTCAGAGGCTGCCTTTCAATACGGAACAGATAAACAATTAGAAAATGGCCATTTTACAGGCCCAGTGTCCCAACACATCCAGGGAATATTCTCAGGTATATTAAAATTACGGGGTGAAAAATCTGTTGGAGGGCAGATATTTATAGTATTAAAGCATTACTCACACCTCTCCCACCGTGTTGTGTTATCATAAAGAGATAGGGAAGACTTTACAGCACAAATGTGACAGCAACAGTGATCAAATTTAGTATTGATAAAAATGGTAGAAACAGACCATCTGTGCTTCCTCACGAAATGTCGTCACAAGTGCATACATTATCAGTACATTATTGTCCCAAGATGAGTCCAGAACTGGGAGAAAATTAAGTAAGATATTATTTGGGACAACTGGGTAAACTGAAGATGGACTGTATTTGAGAGAGAAGTATTGAATCAATATTAGATTTTTTTTAGGCTGTAGATGTAGCTCACTGATAGGGGTCCACTCTTCAGTACCAACAAAAAAAGGGTATATATATTCTTGGTATGTTAGGTTTTTTTTTAGGCAATATAATGGCAATGTAATTATATAGAAGACAACAGAAGTGTTTAGGGATAAAAATGTTATGATTAAGCAAATTACTGTCAAGTGATTCAGAAGAAAGGATGGGTGTGGGGGCCGGGGATGTGCATCTGAGAGGTACAGCAACTTTTCCCTAGCATAAATAAAGCTCTCACTCAAGCTGAGAAGTGTGTGTGTGTGTGTGTGTGTGTGTGTGTGTGTGTGTGTGTGTGTACAGAGTGCAAACTTGGCAAAATGCTGAATAACAGGCCAATAACTAACAACTCAGGGTGAAGCACATGAATGTGCTCTTTCAAATGTGTAGGTTTGAAATTTCTCAAAATAAAAAGTGAAAGATAAAGCAGTTTTATGTCATTTATGGGAGTTAGCTGTTATTGTGGGGACGCTGAATCCTGTTTACACATTATTTTCCAGAACATGGCATAAACCATGTGCATAGTGCATTCCTGCCTGCCTATTATTTATAACTATTAGACTCTATAAACCTTTGTTTTTTTTATTTTATTCTGTTTGATGATGGAAATCAAACCCAGGGCCTTGGGCATGTCAGGCAAGTGTTCAGCCCCTGAGCTATGCCCCTAACACTGAAAAATTTAATAGAGTACTTCTACTCAAAATTATAAATAAACTTCCACGCTGCAGTAACAGAGTGATGCAATGGCGTCTCCCTGGCCTTTGTCCTTCCTGCCTTGCAACATCTGATGTGGGGGCCCAAATTACTCAGGGTCAGAGAGTCTGAGCTTGCTTTACCCAGCAGGGCTGCATAAGGGGATGATTTGACCACGGGCGTGATTACCAGGTGTTTGGAAGGGTCTACACTTGGCTGTGTGGTGTGCTTTGATTTAGCAGAGGGGAGGTCTTTTGCCCTGCCCTTGGCATTGTTATAAAAAGACCTTTTGAATAAACGGCCATTGGGTCTTGACTCAGGTCCTCCTGACGCTGTCCTACGTTTCTGTCTTTCATCTCTTCACTATCTTTCTATCCAATATTCTTATTCCTCTCTCCTCCTCATCGGAACCCTGGAAAAGGTGGGAGCTGGCTGGATGAGACTCCAGTGACAAAATAGGAGCCCCTGTAAGCACTGAACATAAACAATGGGTGAGACAAGCTGCTCCTCTTGTGTGCACTGAAACTCTCTACAATCCTCTTTCCTTAGAAGTCACTCCTTGATGACTCTGAAAGTAAAACAGTCTCAACTGCCCTCCTAGTCAATCCCACTCTCCCAGCTGGACTGAGATAAGAAACCCAAGGGCATCATGACAGGAAAACCTAGACCCAGCAGCAACAGGAAACACTAGTCCACAGCATCCTTGTGAGAAAGGGAAACTGAGGCAGAACACAGTTGGTCTCCACAGCCCTGACAGTAAGACAGTTATAAAATATGACTAAACTGTGGAGGAACCAAGTTCTGAGAACTTGTTATGTGAAGAATAACAAGAAAAATGAATTTCACAGTATTGTAAGTGTCTGATATCATAAATAAACTGTTTTATCTTGAACTTTTTTGAGATCAGGTATAGACAGACAAACCCAGACTGGCCGGAAACTCTGTATGTAGCCTAGGTGCCTTGAACTCACAGCAATTCTCCTGCCTCAGCCTCTTGAGTGCTGGGATTACAAGATGGAGCTGAGCCATTATGTCTGGAGTGTTGACTTCATTAGGATCTCTCCTGCCTGCCTCCTGTGAGCTGCCGCCATTCCTTGGCCACACATCTCTCAGCGCGACTTTCAGAACACAGCTTTTAGGGGGGCAAATGGAAGCTGTAGTTTCTTCCATCCTATGGCACAATGAGATAGCTTAACTTTGTAGCCAACTATACATGCTCTTTTCCTTCACCTGTTGGGCTGCGCACACATATATGATGTCTATATTCACCCCAATTACTTCTGAGAGCCTTCCTTTTCCTCCTGACCCCTTCTTTCCAGCCGACCCCCAGTGACAGTGGTACCCCCTCCCACAGTGACTTAACAGTCAACAGTCCCCAGGAAGAGGTGGTCATGTGCTCTATTAATAATCAAAAAAGAACAGAAATATTACTCAAGCAAGGCTCTGGTGTTGTTTTTCAATGTTGACACCCTCTTTTCTGGTTCCATCCTCATAAGCTAATGCAGATATTTTTCTTCTTGGAAAAGTAAGCAGTCTTCAAACAGAGTAAATGATGGCCCTCGCTGCATGTTTACATCACAGACAGTGGGAGACGAGGAGCTGGCTACATCTCTTGAATCAAGAACACTATTCTGCTGCTTAGAGAAAACTCAATGACTCAAAACGAGAAAAAGAGAAATGGCCAAGGGACCAAGCTGCTCTTTCCTTCAGAGAGCTTTCCAAACCCACTTCTTTCTATCTAATATATGATATGCCCACCTAGCTGCAAGGAAAGTTCAGACTAGAGGGTTTTCTCTTCCATCTTCACTGAACACAGTGCCAGCCTCAGCAACGTAAAAACACAATAAGAGGCTCAGCCTTTGAGAACACTGGCTGCTCCTGAGGACCCAGGTTCAATTCCAAACAGCCTCACGGAGGTTCACAACCAACTGTAATTCTAGTTCTAGGAAATCTGACACCCTCATCTGAGAGCACTGTATTGCACATGGTACACAGACAAGACGTACATGCAGGCAGAAACCAACACATAAAAAAAAATGTAAGTAAAAGGAAAATCGTTACCAACCAAACCATGGGCCATATTCTTTCCTTGATCTTTTTTGAAGATCATTCCTGAGACCTAATGATTATTTTCCAATTACAGTATCAAGCTGGTGGGATTTGCAGAGCTGGCTCAGTGGTTAAGAGCATGTCCTGCTCCTGCAAAGGACACAAGTTTGGTTTCCAGCACCCAACATCAGTTGGCTCAAAACACTTGGAACTCCAGCTCCAAGGAAGCTGACACATTCTTCTGGCCTCCATAGGCACCTGAATTCACATTCACATACCCACACATACATATACACACAGACATGTAGTTAAGAATAAAATTTTGGGCTGGAGAGATGGCTCAGAGCTGGCTGCTCTTCTAGGTAGTCCTGAATTCAATTCCCAGCAACCACATGGTGGCTCACAACCATCTGTAATGAGGTCTGGTGCCCTCTTCTTGCCTGTATGCATACATCACACATGCAGGCAGGACACTGTACACAAAATAAATAAATCAATCTTAAAAAAAGAATCAAATAGCCGGGCGGTGGTGGCGCACGCCTTTAATCCCAGCACTCGGGAGGCAGAGCCAGGCGGATCTCTGTGAGTTCGAGGCCAGCCTGTAATGAGATCTGGTACCCTCTTCTGTATACATAATAAATAAAAAAAAAAAAAAAAAAGAATCAAATTACCTGATGGGATGCCACAGGCCTTTAATCCCAGCACTTGGGAGGCAGAGGCAGGTGGATCTCTGAATTTGAGGTCAGCCTGGTCTACAGAATTAGATTCAAGACAGCCAAGCTCTACCCTGTCTCAAAAAAGAAAAAGAAAAACTAGAGAAAAAAGCAAGGAAGGAAGGAAGGCAGAGAGGGAGGGAGGGAGGAAGGGAGGGAGGGAGGAAGGAAGGAAGGAAGGGGAAAAAGAATAAAGTCTTTTTTTAAAGTACAGATCAACCTGGGACAGTGGTGTGCATCTGCAATCCCACACTCTGGAGCTAAAACAGGATTGCGAATGTGAGGCCAATCTGGGCTGCAAAGCCGGATCTCAACAAACAAGCCAATGGAGACAGAGGCTGGGGCGGGGCTCCGCGGTAAAGCACACACTTCCAGCCGCTGTTGCCCTGGTTTCATCCCCAGCAACAGGAAGGCTGTAACAGATTTCCACAACAAAGAGGTCCTATCCCCATTTCAACAGATAAGAACACTGCAGACTGGTTCTGATGTCTTTAATGTCCTCAGACCACACTCTCTCCGTGAAATTGAGGGGAGGAGAGAAGAAGTAACATTCTAGATTTGACAGTTTGTGGATTGTTGTACAAGTCCTCGGTAAGTCGGAAATGTTTCCAGATCCATTCGTACGCTCTGAAGTAACTGTGACTGTAATTGAGAGCCATCCATCCATCCTCGTTCAAATCTGCATTAAGCTGTCTACCTTACGCACAACCCTGTTAACAGCTAGTGGGATACAACGTGACTTTTCAAATAATGCCACCTCTAAAGGACTTAGCAATCTAATCAGAGCAGCAGGAATGTCACATGAGCCCCAGCTGAGAACACATCTTCCTAAGCAAAAGAAGCAGCTGGGAGATGTTGTCGCCCACCTTTATTACGAGTCCTTTGTAAAGCTAATTGTCAGAATGGCAATGTCTTACTTTGTAGCATTCTAAAGATTAGTTTGAATTTTCAAAACAAAAATGTGCTTAAAGAGGGAAAAATGACTCAAGATCAAATTAAGTCTTGAACAGAGACAGTAAGTTTGTAACAGTGTATACAAAGTTAATCACAGTAAGTTAGCAATACAAAAATTAAACTTGAGTTACTTTTAGGATTTTCCTTTGGCAAGTTAGGATCACAATTTCAGCATATTTAGAACAGGGACTTATATATCTCAATTATGATTACCTCACACGCTGAACAGTGGTGGCGCACGCCTTTAATCCCAGCACTCGGGAGGCAGAGGCAGGCGGATCTCCGTGAGTTCAAGGCCAGCCTGGTCTACAGAGTGAGATTCAGGAAAGCCGGGGCTGTTACATAGGGAAATCGTGTCTCGAAAAACCAAAAACCAAAACAAAGAAACAAAAAGATTACCACACGGAAATGCCATAATTATTCCATGTGCAGTAATACATACATACAGAGTAAGATAAATTATTTTAATACTTTACCTATCAAAAAGGATTTGGGGGGATTAGAGGTACAGCTCAATGGTAGAATTCATGCTAAGTATATGTGAACCCTGGATTTAATCTCCACAAAAACAGGGCAAAAAAAGAAAAAGTAGCCATGGTATGGATAATTTAGCAGGAAATGTCTAAGTACCTATTTTTTCTGCATATTATTTGAAAAAATTGAAAATACTTAGTAAATTTAAAAATAGATCTTCAAAAGCTAGTAGTTTTCTCAACACCAAACTCTTTTCCCCACCAAATGTAAATGTACATTTCCATAACTAACCCATTTGTGACAGCTGCGGTTCTCCAACCCTCAAACACTTTGAAAATAAAATACAGTCATAATCACAAACAGCATACATAGCAATTTCAGAACTACAGACAGCAGAGCTGTAATCTAGCAATCAAACCGGCCGTTGTGTGGACACAGCCTTTTCCAGACAGGACGCCTTGGTTCAGCGGCTCTGCATGCGTGGGAGCTGTCCCCGCGTGTTCAGGGCAGCCCAGTGGGGGCCGGGGTCCTGAGGCTGCGTGTGGAAGGAAGGGCTCCGTGAGCGGAAACCTCGAGACTCAGGTTCACTCTTCAGAATTTTCTTCTCTGCTTTCTTCGACATCTCCCGTGCTTTCCTTGAGAGAATCCTGGCTGTTGGCATCAAGAAAAGAGCTTTCTTCCTCATTCTCTCTTTCTTCTTCATAAGAGCTAAAGAAAGAAACGTGATCAATCTATCAAAGGAAAAACGCGCTGTTTCAGAGGCACACAGCCCTGTGTGGCCATGCCTTCCTGTAAGTGGTGCTCCTCCAGTCTACAGGCTCCGGCAGCGACCAGGAGAACCACGGAAGCACCAATGGGAAAACAATGTCCCTGACAACCCACGTGTCTTGAAACTTGACTCCTTATATGTCTTTCTTTCTTTTATGGTTTCTTGAGACAGGATTTCTCTGTATAGCCCTGGTTGTCCTGGAACTTGCTCTGTAAACCAGGCTGGCTACAAACTCACAGAGATCCACCTGCCTCTACCTCCCCAGTGCTGAGATTAAAGATGTGCGCCACCAACTGGTGACTCCTTATATTTCAATGGAAAGCAGGCTGTATATGTGTATGTATATGTACATGTGTATGTATATGTACATGTATATGTATATGTCAGAAACATAAACTTACTGTAAGAACAAAATGCTTTATCACTGTGTAACATTTATATCGTGTCAAACATGGTAAAATATTGGTGTATTTTACAATGGTTCACAGCACTCCCGTAAGGAAAAGGTTTGGAAACAACAGGAAAGGGCAGAGCATGCTTCCCTGCACACACTACCTTTCTTTATCCGATGTGTGGCTTCCCGGCTCTGGCCTGGTGATGTTCTCAGACACTTTTCCACCTTGGCCTTTCTCTGTAACAAACTCCTCAGACAGGCCTAGTGCTTTTAGGGTGTCAGAATAATGCTTTTCTGCTGCCAATCTTGCATTTCTCTACAGGAGAGACAAACCTTTTTAGATAGGAGCAAAAGCTAGAAATTTCTACCAAGATGTATGGATTTAAAGGCACCAGTGAAAACTAAGATCTACAGTTTCAGTGACTGAAATATGCTTCTTTTATGACTGACATGTTTAGGCAGGGACCAAGAGAGATTCACATACGTGCCCAGAGGACAGGTACAAGATTGCTCAAGGCAGTATTGTCTGTAATAACCGAACACTGCGAGCAGCTGAAAGCCTGTCAACATCTGGATGGGTAAACTATACTACAGTCACAAGTAGAAAAATGAACCAATAAAAAGGAATAAAGTAGTTAACAGCCACAACACGGCATGGCAGATAACTTACTAATGTAACACTGAGCAAAAGGAATGCTCAGAAGAACACAAAAGAATATATCTAGTAGACTCAGTTACCATAAGTCCAGAAACAGGAAAAACTGAAAACAAGGCAATGCTGATCCCAAGTTAGAGGCGGTGACCTCTAGAAGAGGTGGCTGAGTGCTGACCTGTAATGACTTGTCACACTGTGGTCAACTTTTAAGATTGCATAAAGATACCCCTCAGAAAAGATCAATAGGGAAAGAGAATAATGAGCCACATGCATACAACCCCACTACTCAGGAGGCAAAGGCTGGAAGAGGATTTACACAATTTCAGGCTAGCCTGGGCTACATAATGAGTTCCAGACCAGCCAGCAGGGGTATACAGCAAGACCTGTCTAAACACAAACAAGGTCTTGTGTCTGCCTGAGATGGGAATGCAGGAGCACACGGGAGGGCTGGACAGCTAGTCTGCACCTCGGGTAGTCCTTAGCCTTTATATACCATGACATCAGACCATCCAAGATGAAGTCAACGATACTGTTATCTCTACTTTGTGGAAGAAAAAGGAATATTTAGAACTGAGGTCAAGTCTCTTGAATGACAGACACTTCTTGGAGGTTCACAGGAGTTGTAGGGACCCTTTCATAGTTGCAGCTAATTGAGGGATAGGGGACGCAGCTCAAAGGTGGAGCGGTTATAGAGGCATGCTTGGAGCTCCGGCTTAAATCTCTAGTGCCCAGAAAAACCAAACCAGTGAACAAAATACCCAAACCTAAAAAGAAAAGCCTTCAGTCCCAGCACATGGCAGGTGAAGCACCCGGCCTGGCCACCAGAGAGGCCGACACAGCAAGAGCCTGTCTGGAAAAACCAAGGCATGGTCTTCACAAGCTGAAAATCAGCCCTGAGCCCACAGGCTTCAAATAGCTACACGGTGACTAGGTGCTCAGGTTGTTGGCTTCAGTCCAATCCTAGTTCCTCCGAGTGGATCTCACAGGAGACAGGGGCCAAGGATTCCCTCTGAACCTCCACCTAAAATGAGGGTCATGAGGAACAGCCCAGTTCCAGTGGACCAATAGCACCCCATATGCAGAGTGTGGGACAGAGCCCATCAACGAACGCCCAAGGAAACAGGACACCACAGCTGCTCAGATAACAGTACTGATGACCTGGTCTCTGATGGTCTGACGTCATGGCACATGAAGACTGGGAACTATGGTTGCTGAGCGGAGGTGACACACACCTTTAACTCCAGCACTTGGGAGACAGAGCCAGGCGGATCTCTGTGAGTGTGAGGCCCGCCTGATCTACAGAGTGAGTTCTAGGACAGCCAGGACCACACAGAGAAAAAGCAGGTGGTCTCCATTGGTCTGGCAGAGCCAAGGGTAAAGGGTACAAAGGGGAAGTGAGAGCTTCGGAGAGTCAGTGGGAAACAGGCTAAAGAGGATAACGGGGGCTGGGGGCGAAGCTGAGGTGGACTGTTTGCCTTGCCAGCCCCAGGCTCTGAGTCTGATCCCTGGCACCACGTCAGATCAGCTGTGGTGGCATACACCTGTAAATCCAGCACTCAGGAAGTAGAGGCGGGAGTTAGAAGTTCAAGTTCACCTTGGCTTTGCAGGAGTTTGAGGCCTGAGATACGTGGGATCAATAAAGGCTAGGGAGAAGTGCAGGGGACATTACCATTGCGCTGTGACCTGGAAGTTCATCCTTTGGGAGGAGGGGTGAACGGAAGCAGATCAACTAGGTTCTGACCCTAGTTTACCATTTGCTAACTATAAACCCGATTAGTTACCTTCTTTGGACTTGAGTTACATGATTCCCCCACTTCCAGAGGTAATCTTGGGGAAGTTAACAACAAGACCCCTGAGACCTTCACTGAAAACGGGAATAAACGGGAATGAACGGAATTCACAGGAACAGACAACTGCACTGTTGTCAAGGTGTACTAACTCACACCCATTTTGACAGTGCGGGAAACAGAAAGATCTGTTCTTTGGTTTTTAATGCTTTTAGGCCTGGAGGGATGACTTAGTGGTAAGAGCACTTATTCTTACAGAGGCCCTGGGTTCAGTTCCCAGCAGTCATATGGTGGCTCACAACTCCAGTTCCAGGGATCTAATGCCCTTTGATCTCTGCAGGCAATGCATGCACATGGTGTACAGACATGCATGCACGCAAAACACTCACACCCATAAAATGAAATAATTTAAATAAATAAACATCAAATTTAAAATGCCTCTAAGAGACAGGGTCTCACTATATTGCATACACTGGTCTCAAACCAATTGGTTTAATTCATCAAAAATCTCCCACCAATATCTCGAAGCCTCACCAGAAGAGCAGAACCATGCTGATTAAAAAGAACAGGCACTAGCTGGGCACAGTGGCACTCACCTTTAACCCCAGTGGGAGGCGGAGGCAGGAGGATCTCTGTGAGTTTGAGGCCAGACTGACCTACAGCATGAGATCCAGGACAGCAAGGGCTACACAGAGAAACCCTGTCTCAAAAAAACAAAAACAAAACAAAACAAAAAAGGCCAGGCACTAGAAGCAGACCGTGGCAGGAATGTCTTGAGGCACACTGGGTTAATGGAATGTTCTTTATTGAGCTATGAGCCTCATCAGATCTTAAGCATAATTACCTCCGTGGTGAACTGGATGAAGCTGCCCCAGAAACAGCATGTCTCAGCGCTAACAGGACACATAAGAAAAACAAGGACAAGCTTGGAAGCCAGAGGCACTGAGAAACAGAAGAGGAAATGGTTCTAGATGCCAACAAACACAACCTGGGCAACTCTTTCAAACAGCATCGGCCTCTTCTGAAGCTTCTCATCCCGTTCTTCCAGTTCTTGCCGATACTCTTTCATCCTTGCCTTTTCACACTCTCTAGAATCAGATCAAGGAAATGGCATTTTAAAAGGTCAGCTACGGAAGCTGCATTAGGACATTTACCTCAGAAGACAAATCAGAAATTCAGAGCACACAGTTCAGCTTGGTTCCTTTCCTAGACTGGTAAGATTCTCATAAATCCAGGATAAAAATCCTAACTTATGAGAGCACATATTGTACTGCCCTGGGGACAGTCTGGGCATTTCAAAAGTCATAAGGTATTTAAAAAAACTGGCCCGAAAAGTGTCTTATTTATAAGTATGTAAAACCAAGAATATCTGGTCCAAATCAGGCATCTTTAAAAAAAAAAATTCTTTCAAATCAAGACCCTGCTTTTCTTGCCCCTCTAAGTGAGACCACCTAAAGATCAGCAGCGACACTCCACCAATATCACTGTACTTATCTTATCCTTTGGACTAGATCCCACAGTGAACTCAACTGCACTGTTTTTCTCTATGTAAGATATACTAAAAGCAACCAAGACAAGAAAGTCTCATGGTACAGAAAATAATTATACTTTACAATAGTTACGCTTACTCATACTTAGCAAATTATTAACTTTTATAGATAAACACTGTATTCCTAAGGAAATTTTTGCTCAAGTTCATCAAACTAGGATCTATCAGTGGACTAACACTAGGCTGTAAAGGAATACTCACTGTAATTAAAAGCAAATATATGTATTTGGTTCTTATAAGTCAGATGAAAGGTTAGTAAATCATATTACTTACCCAACTTTGGAGGAGAGATTTTCTTGCTTACACATGACTATTCATATGTGCAGTGATTGCAACCTTGGTTTTCAACTCTGCTCTAGAGAATTCTAGTATTCTGCAGCTGCTGTTACTTGTCACAGGGAAACAGTCACAAGGTGCAGTGTGTACCTACAATGCACTCACTCTAGCCATTGGATTTTGTACAGACTTAAAACAGAACTCCTTGACTTATTTAATTGAAAAAATACTCTTGGCTGGGATGCAGTTCAGTGCTAGAGATTTTTTCAGTGATGCATTGTACAATCACAAGTAATACAAATAAGGCTAGCTCAGTTGTAGAGTCTGTGCTTCGCTGGCATGTATAAGGTCCTGGGTTTGATCCACATACCCCCAGTACCATAGACATATATATTCCAAATATTTGTGTAATGTATAAATAACACACACACACACACACACACACACACACACACACACACACACACACACACACGAAGATTTTATGCTGGTATTTAAAGCATAGCTATTAACTATGGCCATAGCAGAAATTATTTGTTCCACACAGTCTCATGGTTCTTGCTACAGAGGTGAGTGCATACACTGATTCTCATCATGTGTATGTGTGTATATATGTATATAGAAGTTGAGTACAAACAGCCAAAGATTATTTAAATCCATAAATTCAAATAATCTTTGATTAGTCAAGATGCCACACCATTTTCATATCTAGGCATTTGCTGGTTTAAAGAAAAAAGAAAAGAAAGGAAAGAAAGGAAAAGAACTGAGTTTGGATACCAACATTCGAGTTTCGGGACTCTTCCGTGATACCTGAGATGGTTTACTCTGGATTTAGACATCTGGGCTAAGCCCTGATGTGAGTCATAAGCTTTAACTCGGGTTGCCAAGAGCTTCTGCAATTCTTTCATTCTTTGCTTCTGTTTAGTTAGGATCCGATTTCTCTCTTCTTCCAACATTTTCTTTTCCTCAAGTGATTTCCTGAGGGCAACAAACTAAGGCTTAATTCACTTAAGCCAAGAAGAAAGTTGTCCAGCAAAGATTTAACATGGAAATTCAAAAGCTGAAAAAAAAAGCCATCTTTTGACCAAAATCTGACTTGTGAAACTGGAAATCCAAGTAACGCTGATGGTGTAAGCTAGTCTATTCCAGGGAAACAGAAATCACATTCCTTTCTGAGAAGAGCATTCCTACCAAACGATTCTCTGCCACATAGTACAATACCTTACCGAGAAGTTAGTAATTTCAGATTTACCAAGCTAAAACCCACAGGGCTGCATGTGCCAGTACAGCGACCACATGTCAGGCAGCGCCCATCCCAGGGCCTTACCTGATGGCTTGTTCCCGCCCTCGGGAAGACAGGGTGGGCATCGGAGGGCTCCACAGACAAGGCCTGGGCTTTGCACACGGACTTCTGACCGGGGACATCCGCCTTGGAGACAGATAAGGCCAGCATGTTTCTTTCAGATTTTCTTCGGCTGCTCTCATGTCTGCCAAGACTTTCTGTCTCTTAGCAGAGTCACACGGGGATTCCTGAAGACCACACTGTTTATAAAGAGCGGAGGGGTTCAGGAAGCAGTGTTCTGAGGAGGGCTCCTTCCGTCGGTTCTCAGCAAAGTCTCCATCATCAGGGCTCAGGCACCTACACCTGTGTTTACCCCCTGGCTTTCCAGGACTTCTGGGGTCCCTGAGAGGTCTGCCAGCTGACCTATAGGGCCAGGATGGATTCTGCAGCAGTTCTTGGGCCCTTAGCTGCATCCTGATGTTCCTAAAGAGCTCTTCTTCCTTCGCCTTGTCATTGGAAGCCGACCTGTAAATAGAATGAGGCATGGGTCTGGCTTTGAAGCGCTTCGTTTTCCTCTTAGACTTAAAAAGGTCTCTCAGCTGCTTCTCACGGACCGCCTGCTTCTGCTCCTCCCTGGCAATGAACTTGAACGGCCTCTGGGAGGCCAGGAGCGCGGCTTTGTTTCTCTCCCTGGCCGTCCTCCTTCGCTCTTCCTTCTGCCTGATCAGATCCTCATACAGGGGGAGGAACAGGCAGGGGGGGACAGGATTGGCTCGGAATTTCCTCCTGCACTCCACGTCGTCGTCGTCGTCGTTGTCCCTTTCCAGATCCGCTCGGGCCCTCAGCGCCTCCTCTCTCCTCTTCTGCTCCCTGAGCGTCATTTGAAAGGGCACAGGCACTGTAACTGTGGGCACCCAGGTTTTGGGTTTCCTCCTTGTTTTCTTAGCTGTTTGGAAGTCAGAGTCGTGCTGAATATAATCTTGCACAGAAAAGCCAGTCCACATGTTGTTGATGAGCTCCTTGGCATACGCTGTCATCCTGCTGCCCCGGGGAGCCTCTCTCTCCAGGTTGGGCAGCTCCTCCTCAGAAGTGCTGGACAAGGAGGGGGACCGGCCCACCTCGGGCTCTGAAAGCGATGTCACTAGAAGGGCAGGGTGAGGGCAGTCCTTTTCCGATGCAGAACTAAGGAAGAATAATAAGTAGGGCACACTTTCAATTTTATAGGGCGAATTTTAGGATTTAGGTAATCACAGATTTTCTAAAATGAAGAGAGAAGAGAGTGGCTGTACAGGGACAGTGAGAAGTATCCTTTTTATTTAGAGCAGAGCTGAGAGGGGACGATCAGTTACCTAATCAACTTTCCCACTTTGCGGAGAAGGAACCTGGGACGTCAGCTGCTCCTCACGTCTCGTGTTTCTTCCCTCTATGCTCCTCAGAGTCACCATCCTGAATACGTCTGAGCACGCACGTCCCTCCTACCTGGAACGCTCCTCTTTGCTCTAAAGTCTGGACTAGCAATCAGTCAGGACTCACCTGTGGTCACACACACACACACACACACACACACACACACACACACACACACACACACACACCCGTCACCATCCTTAGAGCCTTCTCACACGGATTTTCCCACACGCCTGTGGACACACATCTACTGCTGCCCTGAAGCCTACTCCTTGCTTCCTGTCCTGCTATTCCTGTCCCTCCTCCAAGTCTGAACTTATTTGGACATGCTAGTGCACGCTAATGGAGGCCAAGACCAGAAGGACAAGGAGTTCAAGACCAGCCTCAGCAGCACAGTGAGAGCCTGTCTAACGAGCATTAACAGTTTGATCCCCAGAATTGTCTGGGGGAAAAATTGAACTTAAGTGTGACACTCTTGTTGAAAATACTTTCCTGCCTCCCACCAGCAGCTGAGTGTGGCCAGCTGCTCCTGTTTCTGAGACACTGGAGTGTCATGTCATACTGCGACCTCTTTGGGGGTGTCAGACCCCAGACAGGCCTGGCACACGGGAGATGCACAGACTAGGTCCTTCCTAGTATTAATGATATAAAGAGGTGGGATTTTATTCAAAATGTCTAATGGTTTATCAGTTTACTAAGTTACCTCTTGTTCTGAGGGTCATTTGGTGGCATATGTTTGTTTGTTTGTATTGTAATTTAACGTGTTTGCCTGCATGTATGTTTAAACCACATGTGTGCTTGGTGCCCGTGGAGACTTGTGCGCTGCCATGTGGGTGCCGGGAATTGAACCCGGGTCCTCTGGAAGAGCAGCCGGTGCTCTTAACCGTTGAGCCATCTCTCCTGCTCCTTCATCGTTGTTTTCCTGCTTTACTTACACTTACGGATATGTATCAAAGTATTTAGGCTGGGCCATTTTGCTTATACATTCTTTCTTTAATTTTTGAAACACGACCTTATACTATGTAGTTCAGGATGGCTTAGAACTTACCATGTTCCAGGAGGACCGCAAACTCTCAGCGGTCCTCCTGCCTCAGCGCTGAGAATCACAAGCCATCGTGCTCCTCTCTCTCCCCCTCTCTCTCTCCCTTCCCCTCTCTCTCTCTCCCTCCCCCCTCCCTCCCTCTCCTTCTCTTCCTCCCTCTCTCTCCCTCCCTCTCCCTCTCTTCCTCCCTCTCTCTCTCTCCCTCTCTCTCTGAAACAGGGTCTCATATAGCCCAGGCTGGTCTCACACTTGCAGTGTGGCCAAGGGTAACCTTGAACTCCTACCCCTGCGACCTCCGCCTCCCAGATGCTGGAATCATAGTCGTACGCAGCCACGCTTGCTTGAGCTAGGCCGTTTGTTGTTGTCTGAGATACAGGCTCTCCACGTAGCCCTGGCTGTCCTGGAACTCACTCTGTAGACCAGGCTGGCCTCGAACTCTCAGAGATCCACCTGTCTCTGGCCCCCAAGTGCTGGGATTAAAGGCATATTTAAAATCATGAAAATTAAGTTTAATTAAAAAATGGGTTAATATGGGGTCATTAAAGATACAAGTTTTTGGTTCCTGTTTTTTTGTTTGTTTGTTTGTTTTGTTTTTTTTAATCAGTCTAGTTCCAAGGCTCATTTCTACTGCGAACTTCCTTTTTTTGAAACTATAAGCTGACCCTTTACCTAACTAATCCAGTTGGTCAGTTATCTGTGCATCTCCCGTGTGCCAGGCCTGTCTGGGGTCTGACACCCCCAAAGAGGTCGCAGTATGACATGACACTCCAGTGTCTCAGAAACAGGAGCAGCTGGTCATGCTCAGCTGCTGGTGGGAGGCAGGAAAGTATTTTCAACAAGAGTGTCACACTTAAGTTCAATTTCTCCCCCAGACAATTCTGGGGATCAAACCCTTAATGCTTGGTAGACAGGCTCTTGCTATGCTGCTGAGGACCTGACATTTAGGAGCAAATACTCTGGGGTATTTTTGTTCCACACTTAGTCTAAGGATTTCTCTTAGGTCAGTCCAAAGATGACACCGGACACAAACTTACCCAGAGGAGACACTAGAAGAATCTTCCCTGATGATCACTGGCCGGATGTCTTTTATGTTTAGCTTGTCCTGGTACATTTTCTCTAATTTTGCCATGGTTTCTGCATGGGCAGCTTTCAGCTCTCTTAGTTTCCTGAAATATTCTTCATTAGAGTGGTAAATATCAGAAAAGTCTATGACGTCCTGGAGTGTCATGCCTTCATCCTCCCTAGGAAAGCTGCTACCACCACCAGCCTGACGGGAGGAGAAGCCCATTATGTGCTATTTGAAATGAAGAAACAAACTGATGCTGATCCAAATGCTGGTTCTTACAGAGGTCCCACTATGTAGCCTACACTGGCCTCACACTCCCTGTGTACACAAGTTAGCTGTGAAATAGTGATCTGACAGCCTGGCCCCTGGGATTAAAGGCATGTTCCACCATGCCTGGCTTCAATCCATTTTATAATGGTTAGATTCCTAGACAACCGACACGTCAGGACACTTAGCAGTGCAGAAGACAGATGTGAACACGGCTACAAGGATTTCCACAAGGAGCTTCTGAGTTGTGCATTTTTGCTGAGAAGAGAGAAGCCGCTGCTTGGACCCAGCCCAGCTCTGGAGGGGCTCCTGCCTTGTGGCTCCGGGGGCTCGCAGTGGACAGAGGTAGGGTGGGGCCCAGGGACAAAGTTCTCAGTGCTCACCAAGGACCCAGGGCAAAGAGAGTCTCAGAGTCACTGCTGTGGGCAGCAAGAAGAGGATGCCCACGGGTGACAGACACTTTGGGCGCGAGAAGAGAGCGTGGGGGAACGCTGCGTGTGCACCTGTCTGTTGGAGACACTCCACATACAAGTCAGGACTGCAGCTTTCCACCAGACTTCCTCTCACGCCTTTGCCCACCTTTCAGTCCTTTTGAGCCGATTCAATAAGGAGATAAAAGCCACACTTCCTAGAGCTGGAGAAACAGCTCGGGTGGTCAAGTGCTTGCCACGAAGGCGTAAGAAGCTGAGTTCAATTCCCCAGGCTTGGTGACGTGTGTTTGGAACCCCAGCACTGGGAGGTGGAGACAGGAGGATCCCTCAAGCCTCATCAGCAAGCCCTTCGTTCCGGTGAGAGACCCTGTCTCAAACACCACTGAAGACCACCACTAGAGGCTGGCCCCTGCCTCTGTGCACACACACATCATGTGCACCTGAACACACACACATATAACACAGCCCCAAGCCCCTCACTTCTTCATAAATACAATTTTTAATATTCTCAGTTGAGAAAATTGAGATTATATATGATACTATGCAAAATGGGCTGCTAACCATGGTTTTAAACTTAGCCTACCACCTAGAAAAGGCTCAGAATGAAACAAAATATGTTCCCAAATTAGACTCATAATGATACGATCTCACAAAATAAGTCTGTTTAGTCTTTCCGATGGGAAAATTCAGCAGAGTCTATTGTTATAAATAAGAAGTGTCTCAGCTGGAAAGTATCTACTGAGCATGTACCAGGCTGTGAGTTCATTCCCAGCACAATGGGAAAGGAGGCGATGGATGGATAGATGGATAGATGGATGGACAGAGAGATGTACATATTTTTTAAATTATGTGCATACATGCATGTATGGGTGAGGGCAGGTGCCCACGGAGTCCAGAAGTGGGTGTTAAATCCCCTGGAGCGGGAGTCACAGGTGGTTGTGAGTTGCCAGGTGTGGGTGGATGCTGGCAACCGAGTCCCCTGCGAGAGCACCAAGCGCTCTAACCACTGGGCAGCCATCTGTCTAGCCCCAGGTTTTGTTGCCCCCCACCCTTTTTTTTAAGTGTTTGAGAGGCTGGTGTTGTTCCACTTGGGAAAACTTCAAGAAAACAAATGAAAGAAAACAATTTTTTTTTCTCAAAAGAACTAATATGTAGAATCTTGTTATCAACAACTCATAGGACCTATCAACAACAAATAGGACTATTAATGTATGTCACACAAGTCACTAAGGAGAATTGGTTTGCTGCTTTTGCAGAGGACCCAGGTTCAGTTCCCAGCATACACATGATGGCCCATAACAATTCATAACTCCAGTTCTAGGGGATCAAGCGCCCTCCTCTGGCCTCCCTGGGCACTACACACAGCATACATTCACATAGACCCACATAGAAAACCACCTCACATAAATAAAAATAGACCTAAGGGAGTGGGGATGAGGCCCTGCATTTGCTTCCTCTCTCAAAAATGCTCATGCTCCGGAAGTCTTCACAGCATACACACTCCCTCTCCACTTAACCACCACCTCAAGAGTCTTCATTGACTCTCCTCTTTGAAATGACAACTCTCCCGACTCACTGAGAGTCCTCCTTTCTGTTTTATTTTTCCAGAAGTATTTAACCGCCAACCATCTACCTCATCCTGGCTGATCTGTATATCCCTGCCTGCCCCGGCTCGAGAGTCAGCGTCCCAAAGGCAAGGGTTTGTTTGCATTGTTCTTCTGGGTCCCCAGCCTCTAGGAAGGTACCCGGCCAAGAAGAGATGTCCAGGAAATATTTGTGGAAAGAAAGAACATAGAGGTTAAAAACTGTGTAGGTTCCACCAAGGGAAAGCAGCAGGTGTTTCCTTTACGTAAGATGGACCCGGGGCCCAGGAGCACAGGCTGCCGAAGGACCACACTGATCTTACTTACATGTGTCCATGTTCCGAACACAAATGAAAATCTAAAAATCAGGCTGTGAAACTGCCAGTGTGTTCTACGTATATGTCCTCTAGGACACGAGGGAGCATCTTTCAGGCAGAGCACCCATGGGCTCGTTCATTCCTCCAGAAAATCTCTTAAAAGGTCCTGTGTCATCGACACTAAAATCAGCAAGGGACTGTGGCCTGGAAGAACTTCGTGAAAGGGAGCAGCAGCAGTGGGGAGCAGAGGCGGGCAGGCCCGAGGAGGTGTGCTCGACACTGAGCTCTGCACATGCCCGGTCACTGTTAACACATGCGGAACTTTTCCAATCAACCCTCCTGCTGGTTTGTTTTTAACCCAGGACGTGGATGGCTGGGAAGTGACTCCTGACTCGAGTCTCACCTCTGTCCTCTGCCCCAGGACTGTCTAGTGTGCCCAACACCGTACGCAACACTCGGTTCTCTTCCCCCTTCTTCATAGTTAAGCTTCTCGTGGGGTAAGTGCCACTAGGTCGGAAGCTAATCCTGAGATTGGCTTGACCCACTTAGGGATGAGCCAACCAGGTGCGGTACCAGTGTCGGCACCATAAGGAGTTATTTGTGCTGTGGTCCAGCGTTTATCTGAAGTTCTGGAATTCTCACTAATTTCTCTTCTTTTCAAGGCTGAGCCTGGTGGTGCCCTGTCTACAATCCCAGCACTCGGAAGGCAGAAACAGAAGTACCCTGAGTGTAAGGTCAGCTTGAGCTACAGAGTGACTTTGAGGCCAGCCTGTTCTACATGCGATCCTTTGGGCGCAAGCATGGCAGCACGTGCCTTTGATCTCAACATTTGGGAGGTAGAAATAGGTGGATCTCTGTGAAGCCCAGCCCGTCTCCATGAGTTCCAGGCCAGCCAGGGCTACACAGTGAGACCCTGACTCCAAAAAAGAAAAAAAGAAGGAAGAGGAAAAGGGAAAGAAGGAGGGAGAAGGAGTCTTACAACACTGAGTGAGATATGCACACCTCAGCCTCCCAAGCACTGAGATTCCAGCTGCCGGCCATTGTACCCAGCTAACGTTTGAGATTTGTTTGTTTGTTTGTTTGTTTGGGGAACAAGTTCTTGTAACATTGTCCAGGCTGGCCTGGAACTTTCCGTATACTCTAGGCTGGTCTCAAACTCACAACTCTGACTCAGTCTTCTAAATGCTCTAACACTAGGTATCTGAAAAGGAGACTGTTCAGTTGGTTATCACCATAACTAACATGTAGCTTTCCAAGCAACAGACACCGTTTTGAAAATGCTAATACCAATTAGACACCGAGCAGTATGCAGCAGATGCCCAGCACCCAGGGTCCCTTTGGAAAATGGTTCCCACTAGCCCCGCAACTGTGCTTGCCTTTCTCTTGTTACCCATGGATTGCTTTCGTAACCCTTTTATTTCTTTAGGAAAACAAAAACCACCAAAGGGACATTTGCTCTTCTCCCCACCTACAGAACTCCCCTCTGGTGAAACTATTCTCTAGTCTTCATTTTTAGGGATCTGATGCAGCAACTGACATGTCACCTCGACGTTTCTCAGTGAATGTGGATCTTCCCGGCCCTTGTCCTAGTCCCCCTACCAGGGTGGCTGACCCTTAATCTTTCTTCTATTATGTCTCCACCAAATGTTGAGGTTCCGTGTGTGTGTGTGTGTGTGTGTGTGTGTGTGTGTGTGTGTGTGTGTTGTGTGTGTGTGTTGTGTGTGTGTGTGTGTGTGTGTGTGTGTGTGTTTCACTCTCCATTTTTTTTGACAGAGGGCTCTCACCAAGTTCCAGGATGTAACACGAACCTTAAAATGTCTTATTAATAAAAACAAACAAACAAACAAACAAACAAAAAAAAAAAAAAAAAAAAAAACCAGAGCCGGGTATAGGGGTGAAAGCTGAAAGATCAGAGAAACAGAACAAACCATAGCCAACTCCTCAGCTGATCCTGTTTCCATGAATCCTCAGACTGAAGCCTCTGAGTCCTCACCCCTGAGGGTCTCAGTTGAACTGCTCTTAGTTCCTGTCTCCTTGGGCCTTATATACCGTTCTCCACCCAGCCATCACTTCCTGGGATTAAAGGCATGTGTGCTTTCCAAGCAAAGACATGAGATCTCAAGTGCTGGCATTAAAGGTGTGTGCCACCATGCCTGGCTCTGTTCCCAGTATGGCCTTGAACTCACAGATATCCAGACAGATCTCTGCCTCCCGAGTGATAGGATTAAAGGTGTGTGCTACCACTGCTGGCCTTATGTCTAATCTAGTGGCTGGCTCTGTCCTCTGATCCCCAGATAAGTTTTATTGGGGAGCACAATATATCACCACACCAGGGATCTGCCTGTCTCTCCCCCCTCTAACACTGGAATTACAGACAAATGCCAACACACCAGATTTTTACTTGGGTCCTGGAAACCCAAACCCAGTTTATAATATAAATCTTCAGTTAACAGGGCACTCTGGAATATAACTACAACTATACAAAAGATGGATCTTTCTGCCACAGTAAGCCAAAGTATAAATTAATTTCCAAGTGAATTATTCAAACTGTCAGTGTTATAATTACTACTAATTTATGTAAATTACTCTTTAGAAATGACACTTATTCTCTCCTTTGGTTCTTATTAACAACTGAATGAGGTGAAGACAGAGACAAGTGTGGTCCTTTTATAAATCAGGAAATAAAGTCACGTCCTAAAATCACCTAGCAAGCAGTAGAGAGTAAAGTCCCATCCAGGATCCAAATACTTCCCTCCGACAAACTGTCTGTCTTCTGTAACCTGCCTCAGCTTATGCTGAACGATAGCTTTATCAGGTATTAAACCAGTGCCAGGATTCTGAACCTCACTCACGTCCAGCCTCTCCATCTGCACTGCTCTACATAACCTCAAGCTGTTTGCTCCTGAAAGGTTTGCTACAGGCTAGGCATGGTGCCTCACACTTTTAATCCCAGTATTTGGAAGATGGAGGCAGGAGGATCAGGAGTTTGAGGTCATCCTCAGCCATAAACAGCAAGTTTGAGGCCGTCCTAGACCAAATGAGACCCTGGTCTCCCCCCCACCCCCAAATCTAAGGATGTAGCTCAGTTGGTACTGCACTCACTCAGCAAGCTCAAAACAAAGCCTTCATCCAGTCCAGCACTGCTAGGAAACCAATGTGGGGCAGGCACAGGCCTGTGGACCTGGTACTTGGTATCAGAAGAGTTGCTAGTTCTGGACTTTTAAAGAGAATAGAAGCTGGGCATGGCACACACCTTTAAACCCAGCACTCAAGAGGCCAAGGCAGGCAGAGTTCTGTGAGCTTGAGGCCAGCCTGGTCTACACAGTGAGTCCGGGCCAGCCAGGGTTACATAGCGAGACCCTGTCTCAAAAAAACAAACAAAAATAAGGACGCTGAGATGGTTCAGCTGTTAAGAGCACCAACTACTCTTGCAGAGGACCTGGGCTTGAGTCCCAGCACACACGGTGGTTCACAACCATCTGTAACTCCCAGGAACTCACATGGTACACATTCATACACACAAATTTAAAAGTAAACAAGGAAATACAATGAATAGAATAGATGAAGGAAGGGAGTGATTCTGTTCAAAATACACTGTATGCAATTCTCAAAGAATAAAAAAGTGGAGAGAACAGAGGACAGACTGTGCTCTTCTGCTGAAAACAAATCCAGGACGTTATTTTGAAAATGGTTTGTGAAGAGACTTCATTGCGCCCTTATGACCCCTTTAGGAAACAGTGGGATTTTGGCGATTTGTTCCTCTGGATCTTTCTCTATATCCGTGGAGCACCTATCCACTTAACTTCAAGCACGCTCTCCAAAGGACTGTGCTAAAATCCAGTACTAGCCAAAACCTTAAAGTAATAAAACACAGTTTTGAAAACTATGGGTACATCAGTTTTCCTCAAGGTAAAAAAATAAAATGAAATGAAAATCAAAGAACTTAAGAATTATTTATTCCTAAAATATGCTGTAGAATAGGAAGTTCTGCTCTTTGCACACTCTAGAAACAGCTACATAAACGCTCTCCAAGAAAGTTTTGCAGCAACCTTTAGTTGGGGCAGAGAGTAGGGGGCGTCTGCAGGGCGCGCCTCGTTTCCACCGGTCCGCGCCGGTGAGGACCCAGACCCCCCCTCAGACCCGGCCCGGCTCCCACATTACCGACGCCCGCGCCGGCCGCATCCCTTTCTGTTCCTCCTCCACGGCTGCCGCCAACGCCGCTGCTACCAAGGACTCGAAGGGGTCTTCGTGTTCGTACTGGGCGCCCCTTGCTCCGGTGGTGAGATTTACCGGCAGGTGGAGACTGGCGGCCGCCTGCCTGGCCGCCCGGTGCGGGGAAGCCATCGCCCCGCCTCGAGCCTCAGCGCCCGCGCCGGCCCGGGGCGGGTGAGCTGGCGCCGCCCCCGACCTCGCAGATCCTGGCTTGGGGCGGGCGGTTACTAGGGGCTCGGTTACTAGGGACGCTACAGGACGTGCGAGGGACCAAAAGACACGCAAGGTCCTATTTCTCACTGTCACAAACCGAGCCCTCCATCCTACTAAAGTCTAAGGATGGTTTCTGGTACAAGCCTGCGGTTAACGAACGGGGCACTCTGGACAACTATCTGAAGCTACACGGCAAGCCAAAATCAAACGTCTTCCTCAAGCGAGTTGCTCAACGATAGTCTCATCGGCGCCGAGATCATTACAGATTCACGTGAATGACGCCCAGCTCTCCGGCTAGGGACTGAGCCTTTCTCTATTTTATTCTTGCTTTATTTCGGTCTAAACCAGGACTTCTCGCGGCATACGAACTTTAAGCAGATAGAGCGCGTTTTTTAGTAAATTTTACACATTGGGGCACAGCGTAACAGGAAAGCACCGGGTGTCGTGTGACCGCCCCAGAAAAGGACAGGCTTTGCAGCGCGCTATCCAACATGGCAGAGAACGAGGTTCATCTCCAATTGACAAAAAAAAAAAAAAAAAAAAAAAAAAAAAAAGCACGAGTTGACCAATCAGAAGGAGAAGACTTAGTTATCCCGCCCTCTTTTCTCCTGGCTGACCAGTAAGAGGCCAGACATGGAAAGTGCCTGTAGCTCCAACCAGTGAGTGACGGGGTGGCTTGCCTTGGGTTCTGTAGCCAGCTAGCGGCAGGATTGAGGGGGGCGAGAGCCCACAGGGACCACACCCTCCTGCCTCACCCCCACCAACCTCCCGATCGGCTTTAGGCTTTAGGCCCCTTGGAATGGTCTCTCAGCGGGCACGGGGAAGTCTCAGGCACCTGCGATCTAACACTCTGCTTGCAGAAGCCCAGCTAACGCCCTTGTCCCCGCCATAAGGTTCCGGTAGGTTCCGCATCATGCACCACACCTACAGAACCTGTCCCCGACGCACATGCTACCACGCCTTCCTTGTTCACACGTGTATGCACCAGCACCTGTGAAGTCTCCATCACCTCACGTTCCTCAGCTCCTCTGTTTGGGCTGAGCTTGATTCTCCCAACGGAACTGAAAAGCCAGCTGATTCTGAAAAGCCGAAGGTGGGTGACACCCATAGTCCTCCAACAGACAGGATAGTGACTTCCTGTCAGCCACATGCAACTAGTTCTGGGATGGGATTTGGTGTAAGCCAATTCAAAACCAAGACAGACCTACAGACTGAAGCCCTGTGAGTAGATGGTTTGAAATAGTAAATCATGGGTAAGAAGGACATTAGTGTGTACATAGAACAGGAAAGTTTCAGTATTCTAAATCTGCAGACATCTAATAACAACTGAAAAGAACATGGAGCTTGAAATGGATAGATCTGCAAGAAAATGGCATCATCGTAGAAGAACTGTTTTTGCACTTTTGTGTTGAAATGTAACTACACAGGACAGTGAAATAATTTTGAATGTATAGTTACATGAATTCTGCAAGAGTGTATACCCATGAAACCACAGCCTTATTAAGATACAAAACTTGCCGGGCGGTGGTGGCGCACGCCTTTAATCCCAGCACTCGGGAGGCAGAGCCAGGTGGATCTCTATGAGTTCGAGGCCAGCCTGGTTTACAAAGTGGGTTCCAGGAAAGGTGCAAAGCTACACAGAGAAACCCTGTCTCGAAAAAAAAAAAAATACAAAACCTTAGCCAAACATGGTAGTTGCACACCTTTAGTCCCAGCACTTGGGAGGCAGAGGCAGGAAGATCTCTGTGGGTTGACAGCACATAGTATGTTCCAGGTTAGCCAGCGTTACCTAGTGAGACCTTATCTCCAAACAAACAAACCATCCCTTGTGCCCCACTCCCAGGTTATTAGCCAGGATTATTTTCCTTTTCATTTTTTCTTTCTTCTTTGTTGTGCTCCGAGCACACACAACATGCACCACCCGCAAGTGCTCTGCCACTGAGGCACATCTGCAGCCACACTCAGTTTCTTTTGTTCAGCATAACTTTTTTTTTTTTTTAAAGATTCATACTTAGATTGTGTTCCTTTTAAATTCCTAGATAGTATTTTTTTTGCTAAAATGGCTTTCTAATATTGGATGACTTTCCTTGAAATTTGTGCTATTCACTATTATGCAAAGGTTTTAATTTTTTTTGTTTTTTTGTTTTTGAGAAAGGGTTTCTGTGTAGCCTTGGCTGTCCTGGAACTAACTCTGTAGACCAGACTGGCCTTGCACTCAAAGAAATCTATCTGCCTCTGCCCCCCAAGTACTGGAATTAAAGGTGTGTGCCACCCCTGCCCAGCCAATGGTTTTAAATTTAATCTGCATCATTAACATTTTATGTCACTTAAAATTTTGAATTTGTGTGTGTGTGTGTGCAGTTGTAATGTGTGTGCAGGTGTATGGTATGTGCAGTTGTAATGTGTGTGCAGGTGTATGGTATGTGCAGGTGTAATCTGTGTGCAGGTGTATGGTGTATGTGTGTGTATGCAGGTGTAATGTGTGTGCAGGTGTATGGTATATGTGTGTGTGTGCAGGTGTAATGTGTGTGCAGGTGTATGGTGTATGTGTGTGTGTGCAGGTGTATGGTGTATGTGTGTGCAGGTGTATGGTATGTATGTGTGTGTGCAGGTGTGGTGTGTATGTGTGTGCAGGTGTGGTGTGTGTGCAGCTGTGGTGTGTATGTGTGTGCAGGTGTATAGTGTGTGTGTGTGTGTGTGTGTGTACTATGGTGGGAATGTGGAGGTCACAGAACAGCTTTCCGGGGGTTTGGTTGTCCTTCTGCATTGCCAAGGCAGGATCTCTATTATTTCTGCTTGCTGTGCCGTGCACTCCAGGCTGACTTCTGGATTATTCTATTTCTGCCTCCCCTCTCTTTACAGGACTGCTGGTATTACAAGCCCATGACCACATCCAGCTTTTTACATGGGTTCTGGGACTGAACTCGGGTAGTCAGGTGCTGTGGGATGTTAATGTATGTCCTGTGGGAGTCCTTCTTGGGTTCCTTGTGGCGTTACCCAGCAGGTTTGCATAGAGGATGATTAGGACCATGGGCCAGAGTGCAGGTGTCTGAGATGGTCTGCACTTGGCTGTACTGGGG